ATAATTCACGAATTTTCATGCAAAACACTATAATTCACGAATTTTTATGCAAGAGACTATAGTTCACGGTTTTTAATGCAAAAGACTATAATTCACGAATTTTTATGCAAATACTATAGTTCACGAATTTTCATGCGAAAGACTATAATTCACGAATTTTCATACAAAACACCATAGTTCACGGTTTTTCATGCAAAAGACTATATTTCACGATTTTAATGCAAAAGACTACAGTTCACGCATTTTCATGCAAAACACTATACATCACGCATTTTCATGCAAAAGACTATAGTTCACGGTTTTTTATGCAAAAGACTATATTTCACGATTTTTCATGCAAAGGACTATATTTCACGGTTTTTCATGCAAAAGACTATAGTTCACTATTTTTCATGCAAAACTATAGTTATCGCATTTTCATGCAAAAGACTATAATTCACGATTTTTTATGCCAAAGACTATAGTTTATGAGTTTTCATGAAAACCATGTATAACTTATTTTGATTGCTTAGCCTTCACATTTTCCTAACTATACCAAGTTATAACTATATTTCAAGCATCATAACTCCAGTCTCAATTCTTACAAACTTTAGCCTCTAAACCTACTTTATAACAACCCTGCTCCTGGACACTTACTGTAGCTCTCATAATCCTACTGGTAACCTGAAACATTTTTTAACTAATCTTCTATTTAAAGCTTATCTTGGCCGCTTTCTTCAGCATTTTTCTTGAAGAAGAGAAAAAATACAGTGTGCTGTCTGTTTAGACTGTATAGCCTGCATAGTGTATACAGTAGGTATATAGAGAGTATAGCCGGTATAGTGTCATTTTATTATTTGTTTCAATGTGACTAACATACTCAAAGGCCACATTCACTTTGAAATATGTCAGCTTTTAAAAAAGTCGATTATTTATGTTACTATGAAATTAAGAAGTAAATGAATATGAAAACACATCCAGGATCCAAGGGTTTTCTCTCGGAAGTCCTAAAAACAAACATAATGGACGAACTTTTACCGACGACTAACGCACGAACTAAAAGTCAAAGACTCCTATAATTAAAACATATTTTACAGTAAAAATGACCTACGAGTAAAAACAAGCAAAACACTTTAAAACAAAAACCACACCAATACAGTGCAGCTTTTGATAATTCAATGGCATTTCAACTTTTGATATTTCATCAACCTCCTATTTTACGACTCTCGCAACTACAAAGACTAAAGCCTAGGCCCCACTATCGTCCATATCGACGAAAATTAGAACGAAAACTTCCGCAACGAAAATTTTGAACGAAAACTCGACGAAAATTTCGTTTTCGTTCATATTAGAAGGGTTGAACTTTTGACCTTTTTCGTCAACGAAAACGCATACTATTGGCTAAAAATATCTTGATAATATCAGACTTTGTTCTCAAACATGGCGGAGTGGCAAGAGGTTTTGATAAATCTGATGCGAGAAAACCAATTTTGTATGATAAAAGTCACCCGGATTATAAGGACTCGAGGAACAAGAAAAGAAATCACTGGCAAGATGTTTTAGATGAATTTAATAAAATTACGGACTTGGCGTGGATAGTGAGTATTATTGATAGTCCGCCGACAAACTTTTATATCAAATCATTCATTTCCATTACTTTTAAACATTTTAGCAGTAACTTTTTCTTAAGAAGAAGTAATCTTTTCTTTAGAGATCGCCATTGTTTCTAATCCGTCAAAAATGCCGCTTGCTTATTGGCCAATAATGTTTTGGCTTTGCAAACATGCTTGAAATTTTTCGTCGTGTCTGGCATGCATTTCGTGCACGAATTTTCGTTTCGTTTTCGTTTTCGTCAATATAGACGATAGTGTGGCCCAGGCTTAAATCCCTAGGCAGCTGCCCGTTATAACGATAATTGACTGTAGTTGGAAGTATGGTAAATGGTTTGAATCCGGGAGTATCGTTAAATATTTGTAGATGTATATCGTTCAGGTTAGTAGAGTCCTGAGAAGGACTGTTCAGTTAAGCTAAAGTTGTCGAAATGTCAGTCAACATCAACAGTCCTTCTCAGGACTTTACTAACCTGGACGATGTTGTTGGTAGCTTAAAATACAACTATATAAATTTATGATTTAAAGATTTGTGAAACAAATCGTTGAGATGTGTAAGATAATCTGAGAGCTTCGAATACTGTCTGAGACCTTCAAATTTGTTCCAAAATTCGATTTCACACAAGGATAAACAACATAACTTGATCAGTGGTTCCACGTAAACGAAAATTTTAAATTGTTGACTTCTTGGTATTTTGACGAAAAGTGAAAATGACAAATTTGGGTAATCCGTACCGGGCGGCGTCACCGTGGATTTTATGGTATATATCAGGGGTCTCCAAACTACGGCCTGCGGGCCAGATGCGGCCCGTTGGGCCTCTCAATCCGGCCCGCAGAGACACTTAAGAAAAAATAATATTATTAAACAAAATAAACTTTTTGCAGAAAGTTAACGTTATGACGCAAGTCAACTAGCAAGAGTGGCTTACGTCAATTTTTGTCTCAATTTCCTACTTCCGTTTCAAGCACATTGCGAAATTTAAAAAGCTGAATGATAATGTGGAAATTTTTTATATTTCAATGCTTCATAATGGCCAATGAAAGAAAAAGATGATGAATGTCGGCGATTTCAAGAAGAGTGGAGTGTAAAATACTTCTTCATCGCTCTTTGACCAGCGGTATACGGTTCTTCGGCCCGCAACATGCTGGATGAAAGTTCATGTGGCCCTCTGGCTGTAAAGTTTGGAGACCCCTGGTATATATAATCGAACTAAACTCGTACGTAAAATTACTAGAGAAAATTACAGACAAATAAGGAAGTAAACGGATAAGGAAGTTTAACTTTATTGAAACACGCCTACGTTGATTAAAATTAGAAGCATAATTGCTAGATAGTGCATAAGGAAGTAAACGGATAAGGAAGTTTAACTTTATTGAAACACGCCTAGATAGTGCATAAATAATAGGCTTTTTAAGTAAACGACAATTTTTTTAAAGTAAACATGTTTCGGCATGCTTATGCCATCTTCAGTACATGGAATGACTATGATATCTATTTGCAGTTATAATTATATTATTTGAGTGAAAGTGTATCGAATTACTAGATGATGGAATTATTTACAAGTTGAATATCGTGGTGATGTGATGTATTACTATGTATTATTAAACATCACATCAGCACGATATTCAACTTGTAAATATTTCCATCATCTAGTAATTCGATACATTCTCACTTAAATTACATAGATATGACTGTAAATAGATATTATAATCCTTCCTTGTACTGAAGATGGCATAAGCATGCCAAAACACGTTTACTTTTAAAAAATTGTCGTTCATTTAAAATGCCTGATATATATATAGTGCTTTTACGAAATTATGGAAATGGCATAAATAATAATAAAAATAATTTCTCAACTTTTGAACGCTAGCAGAACGTGATTGAAAGAAAAATTTTTCACCAACTTAATGTTCGATATCATCATTTGCTCGCATGCCGAAATTTCTTCCTCCGCACAACCATTTCCTATCTTTAGGTGTAGCCCATTCAAGAATCAATAAAACTCAAGCAGTACTGACGTCTTGTATGCTTCTCAAATTGCAAACAAGTCAAAGGACTGACAATTTCTGGTAGACGTTACGCACGTAATTATGTACAATTTCACACATTCTTTTTTTCGAGACACACCTTTTCCGCTGAAAATCTTTCTAACGGTTGGTAATCATCAACACTCGCTTTCTTCTTTTAGAAGTCTCGAACAAAATTTTGTCATTATTTTAATAATCTTCATTGCTTCAGAGCGCAAAATGGAGTTTTTCCAAAAGAAAATGAAACAATTGAACGTCGAATTCATCAACACTACTGTTTTAAGCCAAAGTAACAAAATGTTCGACGTCCTAGTTGTCGGGAAAAGCAGGTTGTAAACGATGAATACCACAATTGGAATATAGAATAACATTTGACTTGCAAATCCCAATAAGCAAATTGATATTTGCTTCGTGGAAATTTTTGCTTTCCTGTCCGGATCATTGACGCGAAGCTTGCGATAGTTACGTGAAATCCTGAATAGTTTATAAGTGATAAACAGCATAGGAGGAATGTATAAACACATGAATATCAAAGTGTGTATTTCGAACGCAAACAATATGCCATTCATGACCATTATGTGAGCAATGGTTGGAATAAATACAGATACAACAAATATCAATAAAAGTTTCCGTTTGGTAATGGTTGTCTTGTGGTATATTGGATATGAAAGTGACAGATAACGATCCAAATTCATGACCAACAAAGCCATTAAAGACGGTGTTTGAGTATTAGACACAATCTCCAATGTAATATGTACCCAATACGGAAAAATTCGAAATTTATTCGTGGCTAAAAAAAATGTTATAACCGTAACAAGAGGATGGTTTACCACAATCACCAATAAGTCACAACACGATAAAACCATGATCATAAAATAACATAATTTCTTTCGTAGGTACGTTGTTCGCCAAAACACAATAATTACTAGAGCATTTGATACAACACCAAGAACGAAAAATATTATATTGAGCGCAATTATTGTCACCAGGTTGAACAAATTTAAATCCATAATTGTCTACAGCGTAGCAAATTGAGCGTTTGACCTAAACACCACGATAATAATGTATGCCATGTATATAATATGTTATGTGTGATCTACGATCGTTTATAACATCTTATTCAGCATCACGTCACACACGTAATCTCATATTTCGTGTTTTCACGTCGACAAATATTTGCTTACTTTGTCTTAAATTTCAAGTTCCTGTTTAGCCTCCTACAATCGTATGGAAATTTTACATACTTTTACAATGCCATTGATATAACAGGATAAAGACATCCTTAGTTGGTCTGTTTCAATTTTCCTTCTTTTGTAATTGTTCATTCAACTAAAGTCTTTAAAAGACTTTCGCAAGACGAAGTTCTAAATATATCTGTACTCATACTAAAAAACCAATTGTTTATCATGCAATAGAAAGCTATCGACAGCCTTAAAATTTGTTTTTAAAACATCAATCCAAGCATTAAATCACAAAGAATGCCGGAGTTCAGAAACAGCTTGCCCACAACAGACATCTCAGAGATCATAATGAAACTGAGTGGCTTTTACTTTACCCTGATATGGATATCGTGGGAAATATTCCAGGAAGCAGTGAAAACTTCTCTGTGGAAAAATATAAAAATGAACTTGGACGTCCATACAGTCGAGTAAATTTGTACATTTGCAAAATGCTTGATTTTGAAGGTAAACACTGAGTTCAAAATAATTCCGGGTATTTTTTGCATTTAGACTGCTGGAGTGAGCATTAGGGCATTGCACAAGACAAACACTGGCTGTATTGAAAACTGATATGTCATGCAATAAATAATCAAAAGCAGTCACATTTTATTGAAGCAACATTTCTGAGCTTCCCAGAGTTGAATGGGCCTATTGACTGTATTTTACTGGTGAATAAAGGTTCACTACTGGGGCAAGCACAGAGCAAAATGCGAAAAATGCCCTAGTACATAAAAGTTAAAAAATGCCTTAGAATAATTATCTTGCAACTAACATTAAACCTTCAAAAGAATTTGTTTGTAGGGTTAGCAATTATGTTATATTCTAAATTTAGTAGCCAATGATTTGACTGAAGACCTCGAGGAAACGGTTGTTCCAGATACTGCTGATGTTTTTGAAGATAATTCTGAGCAAGAAAATTCTTCACAAACTATATGTGAACTGGGAAATTCTCAACAAGTCAATGCAACACCAGATAATCTGTGGAAGTTAATCATGCTCATACCAATGCTGTTCCAGCTAGTCTTGCAAAAGCTAGTCTAGTGGAGGCCAGCCATGTTCAAACAAATCCTGTTCCAAGCAATGTTGTTAATGTTGATAATAGTTGTGTGGAAGCTGTTTCCTTTCAGGTTGATTCATTTTCAGTTGAGCAAATCATTATGGAACCAGGTGAAATGCCTGCTCAAATTTTTCAGGATGCAGGTATAACTAATGATTTGTTACATATGTATCCTATACATTTTGTATATTTCATTGTTTTTGTATTTTAAATTTATTTTTTAGATGTAACTGAATCCCTACTAGATAATATTGAACCAGAGCCAAATCTTGTACAACCAGCTCAAGTTAATTTACCCGAGGAACAATTGCATGTGCTAGATCTCCTAATCCATCGCACAGCCCTTTTGAAAGACATGATAACAGAATTTTATAATCCAAATGTATTGAAATCTACTATATTTTTTAAAGTAGTTGATGCAAGAGGTAGGTTTGAGGAGGGAGAAGGAAGAGGTGTTGCACGTGATCTTCTTACAGAGTTTTGGCACCTTTTTTATCAGTCATTATCTATTGGAGCATCTACCAAGGTGCCAGCCATTCGTCATGATTATCAAAAGCTGGAATGGGAGGCAGTGGCTAGAATCATGTTGTATGGCTACTGCAAAGAAGGAGTGTTCCCCATTACATTGTGTCCAGCTTTTGTTGCATGTACTCTCCATGGTGAAGACAGTGTTTCTTGTGAAGTGCTGTTAAACTCTTTCATGGAGTATATGGCTGAAGACGAGAGAGAAGTGGTTGATAACTTAATGAAAAATCGATCACAGATATGTAAAAATGAAGACTTACTTGAAGTTTTAGGAAGCTACAAGTGCTATCTCAATCCCACAGAAGAAAATATTGAAGATATATTATGCCAATTAGCTCACCAAGAACTTATCCAAAGACCGCGGTACGTTTCCAATTGTTGGGCAACAATATTGCAATCATTGAAAAGTCATCCTGCGTTTCAAGATGTTGCAAGCATTCTTTGCTTTTACCAAGAAAGAAAACCTACGTCCCAAAAGGTTTTGAAAATTCTAGATGCCTCCCCCGAAAATGAGGCACAACGAAATGCATTTGATCATTTGGTGCGCTATATAAAGTCTCTAGGTGGCAACGTAACCGCGTTCCTTCAATTTACCACAGGTTCTGATATCATTTTAGAAGGTCAAAAGTTAAAAGTGTCATTTACAGAACTTAATGGTTTACAACGTCGTCCTGTAGCACACACATGTGGACCATTGCTAGAGATTCCCAGCACTTATCAATTTTATAATGAGCTTGTAGAGGAGTTTTCGTCGATCCTAAGAGAAAAAAGTGCCTGGTCGTTTGACATTGTATGAAAGTTCTATCACATGTTTTAGCACACTATTATGACATATTATACTGTGTTTTACATTGTAGAAACACTTTTTTTAGTTCACTTTTGTTAAAAAAGATTTTATGGACAATGATGTGGTGTCATATGAAGATGGAGGTTATGGACCTTCCCTGAATATGAAATTATCTTATTTCTTTATAAGATTACCATATACGTTATCGTTTTGAGTTATTAATGTTAAATATGTTTTGTTCATTGCTATTTGCTTTAAGCTGCTTCTAGAAGTCTTTCATATGCCATTAAAGCTTCTCTCCATGTCTGGATCTGTTCTATTCGTAACACACCAGCACTATACGAGAAATATTTTTGATATGTAGAGACCTTTTCTGTCGACACATTAACTGAATTGTAAATCTCTATAAGATCTTCGTCGTCATTGTTTCTGAAAATCTTCAGCTCCAACTGCTTCAGGTAGAAGGTAAAGCTGATCAGGGATCCCCGCATGAGTGTAAAACCTGGATTTGCGTACATAGTGACTGTTCCACGATTCCTTGATTTGGTCAAGTCCTTTTTTTAAGACAGGACTAAAGCAAAACCATAGACACTCAAGTTGAAGTACGTTGCTTGTGTCTAAAACCCCTTTAGCTATCAAATCCTTAAAAAAATTCATCCACCACGAGGCCCACGAGCGACGTAACATGGCCCACCATGCTTCTATTCGCTGATTGCTGTGTGATGATCCATATTGATGAGCATTGACGTCAGAATGTGTGTCCGTACCATCTCGGCGTAAGAAACACTGGGCTGATGCCATAATCCCATTTTCTGTTCCCCTATCTGTTCTAAGAATTTTAGGACAGAGTTGCATATTAGATATGCAGTCGTAAAATAGCCTGCCCACTACGCGGGATCATTATTTGAAGGAACTATATTTAACCACAGTATTTTCCTGCTAAATCCATCTATACACCCATGGATGGGGAAACCATACGGTTTAAGTTTGTCGAAACCATTGGCATGCCAGCAATAATTTGGCCCCGGATTCATGTAAGCTCTTCTACGAAGACGGTTAGCCCGTCTCCAATTCGATCCCTCTGGATCCACTTCTCGAAGGGTGGTTTGAGCAACCAAACGAGGAACTTGCAAGCCATATTTTGACTGCAATCGTCTCCACATGGCTCTATAGCCCAACAATTTACCACTTCCATCTAGTTCTCGAACAATGCATCTTCTTACGTGGTCTTTATCAACGGTATTTCCACGTCGGTGCAATCCATAAAGCTTAAGATTATTCAGCAAAGTACTTCTGGAGATGCGAATTCCATGATATTTTTGTAATAGCTGTACGATTGTATCATACGTGTAGTTTTTAGTAAAATAGTTGCGAATGATATCTTCCATAAGTCATTAAAGTATTGTTTAGCAGCGGAAAGAAATGTCAAGTAATAGACTGCCGGCTTTTCCTTTTTAAATTTGAACTTACGTTTGTTAGTATTCGAATTTTTGTGCGCGTATGCTGTTATTTGTAAGTGTGCATCTGGAATTTGTGCGCGTATGCTGTTATTTGTAAGTGTGCTTGTACTTGTGGGCCACCGTATATGTGTTACTATGTATTATTAAACATCACATCGGCACGATATTCAACTAGTAAATATTTCCATCATCTAGTAATTCGATACACTCTCACTTAAATAACATAGATATAACTGTAAATAGATATTATAATCCTTCCTTGTACTGAAGATGGCATAAGCATGCCAAAACATGTTTACTTTCAAAAAATTGTCGTTCATTTGAAATGCCTGATATATATATAGTGCTTTGATAAATTATGGAAATGGCATAAATAATAATAAAATAAATCCTCAACTTTTGAACGCTAACAGAACGTGATTGAAAGAAAAATTCTTCACCAATTTAATGTTCGATATCATCATTTGCTCGCATGCCGAAATTTCTTCCTCCGCATCAACCATTTCCAATCTTTAGGTGTAGCCCATTCAAGAATCAATAAAACTCAAGCAGTACTGACGTCTTGTGTGCTTCTCAAATTGCAAACAAGCAAAGGACTAACAATTTCTGGTAGACGTTACGCACGCAATAATGTACAATTTCACACATTCTTTTTTTCGAGACACACCTTTTCCGCTGAAAATCTTTCTAACGGTTGGTAATCATCAACACTCGCTTTCTTCTTTTAGAAGTCTCGAACAAATTTCGTCATTGTTTTAATAATCTTCATTGCTTCAGAGCGCAAAATGGAGTTTTTCCAAAAGAAAATGAAACAATTGAACGTCGAATTCATCACCACTACTGTTTTAAGCCAAAGTAACAAAATGTTCGATGTCCTAGTTGTCGGGAAAAGCAGGTTGTAAACGATGAATACCAGAATTGGAATATAGAATAACATTTGACTTGCAAATCCCAATAAGCAAATTGATATTTGCTTCGTGGAAATTTTTGCTTTCCTGTCCGGATCATTGACGCGAAGCTTGCGATAGTTACGCGAAATCCTGAATAGTTTATAAGTGATAAACAGCATAGCAGGAATGTATAAACACATGAATATCAAAGTGTGTATTTCGAACGCAAACAATATGCCATTCATGACCATTATGTGAGCAATGGTTGGAATAAATACAGATACAACAAATATCAATAAAAGTTTCCGTTTGGTAATGGTTGTCTTGTGGTATATTGGATATGAAAGTGACAGATAACGATCCAAATTCATGACCAACAAAGCCATTAAAGACGGTGTTTGAGTATTAGACACAATCTCCAATGTAATATGTACCCAATACGGAAAAATTCGAAATTTATTCGTGGCTAAAAAAAATGTTATAACCGTAACAAGAGGATGGTTTACCACAACCACCAATAAGTCACAACAAGATAAAACCATGATCATAAAATAACATAATTTCTTTCGTAGGTACGTTGTTCGCCAAAACACAATAATTACAAGAGCATTTGATACAACACCAAGAACGAAAAATATTATATTGAGCGCAATTATTGTCACCAGGTTGAACAAATTTAAATCCATAATTGTCTACAGCGTAGCAAATTGAGCGTTTGACCTAAACACCACGATAATAATGTATGCCATGTATATAATATGTTATGTGTGATCTACGATCGTTTATAACATCTTATTCAGCATCACGTCACACACGTAATCTCATATTTCGTGTTTTCACGTCGACAAATATTTGCTTACTTTGTCTTAAATTTCAAGTTCCTGTTTAGCCTCCTACAATCGTATGGAAATTTTACATACTTTTACAATGCCATTGATATAACAGTATAAAGACATCCTTAGTTGGTCTGTTTCAATTTTCCTTCTTTTGTAATTGTTCATTCAACTAAAGTCTTTAAAAGACTTTCGCAAGACGAAGTTCTAAATATATCTGTACTCATACTAAAAAACCAATTGTTTATCATGCAATAGAAAGCTATCGACAGCCTTAAAATTTGTTTTTAAAACATCAATCCAAGCATTAAATCACAAAGAATGCCGGAGTTCAGAAACAGCTTGCCCACAACAGACATCTCAGAGATCATAATGAAACTGAGTGGCTTTTACTTTACCCTGATATGGATATCGTGGGAAATATTCCAGGAAGCAGTGAAAACTTCTCTGTGGAAAAATATAAAAATGAACTTGGACGTCCATACAGTCGAGTAAATTTGTACATTTGCAAAATGCTTGATTTTGAAGGTAAACACTGAGTTCAAAATAATTCCGGGTATTTTTTTTGCATTTAGACTGCTGGAGTGAGCATTAGGGGCATTGCACAAGACAAACACTGGCTGTATTGAAAACTGATATGTCATGCAATAAATAATCAAAAAGCAGTCACATTTTATTGAAGCAACATTTCTGAGCTTCCCAGAGTTGAATAGGCCTATTGACTGTATTTTACTGGTGAATAAAGGTTCACTACTGGGGCAAGCACAGAGCAAAATGCGAAAAATGCCCTAGTACATAAAAGTTAAAAAATGCCTTAGAATAAGTATCTTGCAACTAACATTAAACCTTCAAAAGAATTTGTTTGTAGGGTTAGCAATTATGTTATATTCTAAATTTAGTAGCCAATGATTTGACTGAAGACCTCGAGGAAACGGTTGTTCCAGATACTGCTGATGTTTTTGAAGATAATTCTGAGCAAGAAAATTCTTCACAAACTATATGTGAACTGGGAAATTCTCAACAAGTCAATGCAACACCAGATAATTTGTGGAAGTTAATCATGCTCATACCAATGCTGTTCCAGCTAGTCTTGCAAAAGCTAGTCTAGTGGAGGCCAGCCATGTTCAAACAAATCCTGTTCCAAGCAATGTTGTTAATGTTGATAATAGTTGTGTGGAAGCTGTTTCCTTTCAGGTTGATTCATTTTCAGTTGAGCAAATCATTATGGAACCAGGTGAAATGCCTGCTCAAATTTTTCAGGATGCAGGTATAACTAATGATTTGTTACATATGTATCCTATACATTTTGTATATTTCATTGTTTTTGTATTTTAAATTTATTTTTTAGATGTAACTGAATCCCTACTAGATAATATTGAACCAGAGCCAAATCTTGTACAACCAACTCAAGTTAATTTACCTGAGGAACAATTGCATGTGCTAGATCTCCTAATCCATCGCACAGCCCTTTGAAAGACATGATAACAGAATTTTATAATCCAAATGTATTGAAATCTACTATATTTTTAAAGTAGTTGATGCAAGAGGTAGGTTTGAGGAGGGAGAAGGAAGAGGTGTTGCACGTGATCTTCTTACAGAGTTTTGGCACCTTTTATCAGTCATTATCTATTGGAGCATCTACCAAGGTGCCAGCCATTCGTCATGATTATCAAAAGCTGGAATGGGAGGCAGTGGCTAGAATCATGTTGTATGGCTACTGCAAAGAAGGAGTGTTCCCCATTACATTGTGTCCAGCTTTTGTTGCATGTACTCTCCATGGTGAAGACAGTGTTTCTTGTGAAGTGCTGTTAAACTCTTTCATGGAGTATATGGCTGAAGACGAGAGAGAAGTGGTTGATAACTTAATGAAAAATCGATCACAGATATGTAAAAATGAAGACTTACTTGAAGTTTTAGGAAGCTACAAGTGCTATCTCAATCCCACAGAAGAAAATATTGAAGATATATTATGCCAATTAGCTCACCAAGAACTTATCCAAAGACCGCGGTACGTTTCCAATTGTTGGGCAACAATATTGCAATCATTGAAAAGTCATCCTGCGTTTCAAGATGTTGCAAGCATTCTTTGCTTTTACCAAGAAAGAAAACCCACGTCCAAAAAG